TCTTTATAAAAAAATAATATTCACTTAAATTTCAATAATAATTAAATAAAAAATGCATATTAGTTTTGAAAAAAATGAGAACGTTGTTTATAATTTAAATTGTATTAAATTATAAAATAAAAACTATTCAATAAAATAAAACCTCTAATATTAGAAGATTTATTTTTATTTAATGATTAATATGATATAACCTATTACAATTTAAACTGCGTTACATTTTTTTAAAAATATTTTTACTTTTTTTTTTCAAATCAAATAAGTTCTTTTTTTTTTTGGTAGAATCAAATCAAATAAGTTAATGAGTGGAAGGCTGGTAGCTGCTCCTCTCAACTTACTACAGTAACTTTTAATTTTTTTCTTGTCCTCCAAGTTTCCTCACTCTATTTCACAAATCAGGAGTGGTGTTTTTGTCATTTGATACTGGATTTTCACATTCGCCCTCATAGCTTTGTTTCTCCATTTCACCTGTGATGGGGGGCATGTCTGTCATTTCGTGACCTCTCCCCGTTGGGCCTCCTATCTCCGTTTCTCCATTTCACAAATTGGGGTAGTTTTTGCATCATTTCAACATGAAGGCAGGTTGGGTGCCAAGAATTAGGTTTATTCTGGGCATTTACTGTTGATTTTGAGAGGAATTGTGGGTATTATGATTTAAAAGGTGGGTTTTTTTACATCAGCTGAAAGAAAATCAGGCAACAAACCTTACCGGGATTCCTTAGATTGTTGTCTACAGGAGGAAATTTCTTCCTTTGTTTTTTTTTTTTTTTTTTTTTTTTTTTTTCCTATATTCGGTTCCTTTATTTTCACAGAAACTCTTAGTTTCTTTTTTCTAGCATGAAGGAGATGAAGAGCAAAGGGTTGCTCTGTGAAGAAAAAGGACGAGGAGTGGGTTTTTGATTTTGGGATTTGGTTTTTGCATGAGCACAAATCTAAATGGGCTGATAATAGCATTGATGCTTACTTAGCGGCAGCAATTAAAGTTGGTCCCTGTAGCTTACCAGAGTCAATTACATGTATTTTTTATTATTCTTCAAGATGCTAAATATTAGTGCTATATAGTTTAGTTTTTTAAATGCCAATGGAAGCATGTATGTTTTTCTATCTAGGAATACAGCAATGTGTATTCAAATATTTGTTGTTTGATGGCTATCATGTGTTCTCCATCTCGCTTCTTCAGTTCCTCCTGCCTTTCTTCTCCTTTATTTCTTTTCCTTTATCTGGTGACAATGTATACATGAGATTCTAAGTGAAATTCTAATAGAAACTGATATGTTCCATGAATTAGTTTTACAGCTAAAACGTAACTACACCACA